CCATCCCGGGGTGCCCAAAATCCAACCCGGGGTGACCAAAATGCAATTTGGAATGCCCAAAATCCAACCTAGGGCCCACAAATTTACCCCAAAATCCAAGCTGGGGCACTGGAATTTACCCCTAAATCCAACTCAAGGGTCTGAAATTTAGCCCAAAAACCAACTCAGGAACTTCAAACTTATCCCAAAATCCAACCCGGGATGCCCCAAATCCACCCAGGACCCACAAAATTAAGCCCAGGACGCCCAAATTTACCCCAAAACCAATTCAAGACCCACAATCGACTCAGGAACCCCAAGACCAACTCCAGAACCCCCAAATCCAAGCCAGGCACACCGAAATCCAGCCCCAAACCCATGCAGGACTCCAAAATCAACTTCAGCACCCGCGAATTCACCCCTAAATCCACCTCAGGACCCCCAAAACCCGCCCCAAATTCACCCCAGGACCCCCAAAATCCGCCCCAAAAATCCCCCCCAAATCCCCCCTCACGAACCCCCGCCTCAACATGGCGCCGCCGCGCACGGCACGCCGGGACTTGTAGTCCTCACACCAAGCACCGCCTACGCCTCCCAGCATCCCCCACGGCGCGCAGAGGGCGTGGCCAGGCAGAACGCACCGCCATTGGTCCACGCGAAGGGGCGGGGCTTTCCCCTCAGGGACCTTCCCGAGGTGGGCGCGGCTAAGGGCAAGACGCCACGCCATTGGCGAAGAGCGAGGGAGGGGCGGGGTTTAGCGCGCTGTCAATCACGGGGGGGCCGCGCGGGGCACACCGGGAGCTGCCGGGGCGGCGGCAGCGCCGGGACCCGGGACCCCCCTAAAAGACCTCCCGCCCCTTTAAACCCCCGTCCGGTGCTTCCCCGCGACCTCCCGGTGCCCCTCCGGTACCTCCCGGTAACTCCCGGTATTCTCCCGGTGGCCCCTCCGGTACCTCCCGCAGACCTTGGGTGCCCTCCCGTTGCCCACGCGATCCCTCCCGATGCCTCCGCGACCTTCCCGGTGCTTCCCCGGCCCTCGCGGTGCTTCCCCGGTAGCTCCCGGTAACCCCCGGTGCCCTCCCGGTGCCTCCCCGGTTACCTCGGCGGTCGCCGGGATGTACCCGGCGTAGGCCAGCACGAAGCTGCAGAACTTATTGAAGTCCTCGATCGTCCTCCGCCGCTTTTCCGGGGGCTGCCGGTACCGGGAACCGAGCGAGGGGAGGGTGGGGGGGAGAGGGGCTCACCGTGAACACCGGGACCTTCCCGTGAACCCCCCCCCAAAGCTCCGGGGCCCCTCCCGGTGACAGCGGGAGCGGTGAAAGGATTGAGCGGCGGGGGAATCCCCGTCCCCCCGCCCCTCCCGGTGCCTCCCGGTGCCCCCCCTCACCTGCGGTTCGGTTTTCAGCGGCCCCAGCGCTTCTGCGGAACGGGAAGGGACGGGGCGGTCACACCGGCACCGGCACCGGAGCCTGCCCGGGATCGCCACCGGGGCTCCGGAGGTGCCAACCCCCCCCGGTACCGGTTCCAAACTGCCCGCCTTCCCCTCGGTTCTGCGCTCCCGCTGCTGCCGCTCCCTGCGGCCCCGGTACCGGCACTCCGAACGCTCCAAACCCCCCCGGTACCGGCTCCAAACCCCCCCCGGTTCCGCCTGCAGCTCCCGCCAGTACCGGCCCCAAAACCCCTCCGGTAGCGGCTCCAGCTCGCCCCGGTACCGGCTCCAAACCGCTCCGGTACCGCCGCTCTGAGAGCTCCAAACCCCTCCCCGCTTCGGCCTCCAGCTCCCCCCGGTTCCGCCGCTCTCCGCTCCCCCAGTCCCAGCACCGCCACTCCCGGTGTCCCCCCCCTCCATTACCGGGACCCCAACCCCGCCGCTCCCGGCCCTTTGGCGGCTCCAGCCCCGCGCCTCCGGGCCTGCCCCCGGCCCGCCCGCTGCTGCCCCGGTACCTCCGGGCTCGGCCATGGCCGCGGCCCCGCCGGGCCCCCCCCTCCCCGGTTCCGCGCCCGCTCCGTCCGGTGCCGCCTCGTTCCGCGCCGCCCCCGCCAGGCCCC